ACACACCATATCCAGTTGGAACCCGAAGGAATAAGACCAGGAGGCATGTAGATGGGTGCCACGTTTCTTCAGCGGAGCCGGCTCACATTCCAACTGTATCCTAGAGAGAGTATAGAGGAAGTGGTGTGTAACAGAGGGGTTGGCACCTTGTCAAAATGCACATCAAGCGCAGCCACACCGGAGATATCAACCAACAGCTAATCCCGTGAAACGACGATGTCAAGTAAAATATATCGAATAATGCATAGAGATACGGTGACATAACTCTTCGTTAAATTGATATACGAAGTAAGTTGGTTAGCGACCAATACACGATAAGTACAAAATATCCACAAGTTAATTTAAAACTTGCTACCAACACTATAAAATTAACGAAGATAAGCGCAACCAATGTAACCAACTTGTGCAAATTAACAGAGTATTTAGGTAGGCAGAACAAACCCATTAAAGTGGAATGAAAATTATCCAGCTTAAAGGACCTACCTTAAGCGTGTTGCTTTAGCACAACTGTTTTCGATTTACCAACAGCTTGCTTGCATGCTGAGTTTCTTTATTACAGGTGGTGGTTTTGCTATATTGTATTAACGTCCACCTGAACTATATTCTATTAACTTGCACATGTCCCACAACTTAAGTGCAGTTGACATTGACAACATTTTCGCAAATGTAGCAATTTAAAAATACGTTTAATTACGTCTTGAAATAATGGCAGATCATTTTGGAAACCAATTTAATTCATGTGCTCATATATTGAAGGGCTATATCGGAATTTCTATTTACATTTTTCGATTTACTTTATTTAAACTCATCGTTATAAGTGATTGGTTGTTGCCTGACAATCCCGGTAAGGTTGCGATTGATGTGCATGTTGACAAGGTGCCTACCTGTCTGTTACCCACTACCTCGTCCATACTGGCTCCAGGAGACAGTTGGTCGTTGCTGGAGGGGACGGGGTGCACGGTCCTTGTGGCCGTGTTAGGATCAAAGATTGGTTCCATGCACTCAGTGTGGAGCGGACTACGGTCCAGCCACCGCCTTGTGTGTACTTGATTCCCCAAATACAGCGTGCTTGTGTTTGCCTGTGAAGGAGTGTGGGCCGGCTCCGTTGATGAAACGTGGCTCCCATCCACATGCATCCCGGTCTTATTCCCTCGGGTTTACATTGGATATGGGGTATGTGTTTAGAACTGCGGTTGGCGTGGCGCAAGCCACCCATGGTCCCTCTGTAGGCGCAGGCGTGCTGTGGCTGGCCATAATGATAGGCAAATCCGGAACCGGATGACTATGTATACAGGCGGGAGATCCTATGGTGCGCTGAGGCTGGTGGTGGCTAGATCCTGACAGATGGTCTGCTCCCTACTGCTACTGTTGTGCCATGGGTACAATACCTGGACATCACCTCGTGGCGACCGTCAGGTATGACTTGTGTTACGCCCTTCTCCTAGCTAAGAGCCAGGACACCGGTCCCCATGAGTCAGTGAACTGATCATGTACTAACCACGTTGCTTTCGGGTGAACATTTAATGGAAGACTTTGTCTGAGCACCTTAGTCGTTCTACTGTCAGGTGTGGGCGCCATGCCAGTATCCTAGTCCATCCACTTCGGAGGTTCGGAAGTGGTCGATGGCCGTCTCCTCTTAAAATCTAGCACTGGGAGACAACAGGTCTGTGGGTCATACACTCATAGCTCGACTTGCGTAGAGCACGAGCGCCATGCATTGGCTCTGATGGTAGGAGGGCACCTTTGGGTGCTCAATGATTTGTTACTGCCCGCTTCAAGCCAGACGTCCCTTGGTCAAATTGATGCAAACCCGACAGAACCCACTTGCGTCTGGCCGAGGTCACAAGTGCGGATCCAACAACGGTCAAAAAACATATGTGAATCGTTCCAGTACCACAAAGGCCGCGAGTGATTGACCTCGCACAGATCCTAGTCTGTATTTGCAATAATATTTTCAAGCTGCATCATGTCCCCACTGCTTTGTGGGTCAAGCTGTTTAGTAAAGGATTGCGGGCAGTGCCCTGCCAGAAAACTTCTAAACCATCCACTGCATTGTGGGTCCCGCCGTTGACCAAAGGTTCGGACTGGGTCCCTCAAGAAAAGCTCCAAAGCACAACCGCCACGTCGCGCGACTACCTACCAATGCAATTCTATTCCAATGCAACTTTAGTCTGTGAGACAACTATCCGTATGTTGCTTTTTGCTGATGACTGTGCGTTGTTTTCACACAGCGCGGATGAGTTGCAGCATATGACTAGTGCCCTGGCTACGACAGCGGTCAAATTCGGGCTCACCGTCAACACAAGCAAAACTGTCTGCCTCCTACAGCCTTCACCGGAGGTGTAATCTTCAATATTGCTGCGAATCAACATTGGTGCTGAAGTATTGGAAACCAGCTCTTGCTTCAGCTACCTTGGGATTGTGATGCCGACTGACCAGCAGGTACACAGTGAGCCTCGTATCCGCGTGTCGAAGGCAGCAGCGGCATTCGGGAAGCTTGAGTACCTAGTGTGGAACGTCGATCAGCTTACCATTGCTATGAATCTGATGGCGTACAAACCCATGGTGCTGTCCGTTCTTCTATACGGCAGTGAAACGTGGACGATGTACCGGCGAGATGTGCGATATCTCGAGCGGTCCCATCAACAATGTTTTCGACGGATTCTCTGCATCTCTTGCGGCGACTGAGTTGCGGACACGGAAGTGTTGCGTCGAAGTGGGATGATGCAGTGGACTGCATACTTTTGTTGAGACACCTGAGGTGGATCGGTAATGTGAGCCGTGTGGATTCGACGCGGATACCGAAACAACTCTTATATGGTCAGCTGAATATTGGGAAGCGGCACGTGGGGAAACCAAAGTTACGTTACCAGGACATGATCAAAGTGAGCCTCACACGTTGTAATCTTGGTTGCAGGTCATGGGAATCGAACGTAGTTTATCGGCGTGCATAGCGCGATCTGATCACGAAAGCAATACCCGAGGTGCAGGAGAAGCCCTCATTCATGCGGAGAAGAAACGGCAGGTGCGGAAGCGTCAGACGCCGATGGGTTGTATTCCATCGATATCGAGTGCATGGTGCTGTAGCACATGCGGTCGCGAGTGCCTGAGTCAGGCAGGCTTAGTGAGCCATGAGCGAGGCCACTCGGGACTACTACCGAAGCGCCGACGGGTTCTGCAGAGAACGTAGGCAGAATCGGCGCAGCGTTTGTAGGTACGCTGCATTCGATTTACTAACCGAGTGCTTGCATGCTAAGTCTATTTATTTCAGGTGGTGGCTTTTCAATTTTGCCCTAATGTTTTTCTTTCCCATTTAAATGCCTAGATATACTCTCTTCTATACACTTGCACACGTCGATTAGGCCACTTGTAGTTATTTCGATAACATTTTCGTGTTGTAGCATTTCCGTAAAATAAACCTCCTGACCTCGTGAACTTACCTCGTATTCTTTTGTAAACGTATTCTTTTGTAAACAACTTATTTCATATGCTCACTAATTTGAGATTTATGTCACCGTTTGCTTGCGTGCTATGTCTGTTTATTTCAGGTGGTGGGTTTTCAATTTTGTCCCAATGCTTTTCTTTCTCTTATCAATGTCTACCTGTACATTCTTCTATAAAGTTGCACACGTCAGTTAAGCCAATTCTTGTCCTTTTCGAAAACATTTTTGTGTTCTTGGGATTTCCGTAAAGTATACTTTCTGACCTCGTAAACCTATCTCGCAATCTTCTGTAAACAGTTTACTTCAGATGCTCATTACTATAAGTTATACGTCACCTTTTCTTTATGCATTACTCGATTTATTTTCTTTGTTATCTTTCTCTCAAGTGATTGGCTGTTGCTTGATATCCCCGATGAGGCTGCGCTTGATGTGCATGTTGACAAGGTGCCTACCTGTCTGTTACCCACTACCTCGTCCATACTGGCTCCAGGAGACAGTTGGTCGTTGCTGGAGGGGACGGGGTGCACGGTCCTTGTGGCCGTGTTAGGATCAAAGATTGGTTCCATGCACTCAGTGTGGAGCGGACTACGGTCCAGCCACCGCCATTTTGTGTGCTTGATTCCCCAAATACAGCGTGCTTGTGTTTGCCTGTGAAGGAGTGTGGGCCGGCTCCGTTGATGAAACGTGGCTCCCATCCACATGCAACCTGGTCTTATTCCTTCGGGTTTACATTGGATATGGGGTGTGTGGTTAGAGCTGTGATTGGTGCGGCGCAAGCCACCCATGGTCCCTCCTGTATGCGCAGGCGTGCTGTGGCTGGCCACAGTGACAGGCAAATCCGTAACCGAATGCCGCCAACTATATGTAAATATGTATAGCGGGAGATCCTATGTTGCGCTGAGGCTTGTTGTTGCTAGATCCTGACAGATGGTCTCCCCACTTCTGCCACGGTTGTGCCATTTGCTCATGTCCTTAGCGCCTACTCGTGGCGACCGCTTGGTGGGAGTTAGGTTTCGCCCTTCTCCCTGCTAAGATCCAGGACACCAAACCCCATGAGACGGTGAAATGACCATGTGCTAGACCTGCTGCCTTTCGGGTGTTCATTTAATCGAAGGCTTTGGCTGAGGACATCAGTCGTTCTACTGTCAGGAGTGGGCGTCCTGCCATATCCTAGTGCATCTTCTTCGGAGGTTAGGAAGTGGTCGATGGCCTTCTTCCCGTAAAACCTAACGATGGGAGACAACAGCTCTACCGGTTATAAGCTGACAGCTCGACTGGCGTAGAGCACGAGCGTCACCCATTTTCCCTGATGTTGGGAGGATACCTCCGGTTGTTCAAAGGTTCGCTACTGCCCGCCTCAAGCCAGGCAGCCCCCGGTCAAATTGGTGCAAACACGTCAAAACCCACCTGCGTCTGGCCGTGGTCGCAGGTGTATACTATTACGGTCGCAACACATAGATAAAGCGTTGCAGTACCTCCAAGGCCGCGTGTGACGGACGTCATGCAGATCCCCTTCTGTCTCTGCAATCATATTCCCAAAATGGATCTGCTGCCCACTGTTAGATCTTCCCCTTTTCGCTATTCCGAATTAACCACCCAGGAATTTCTCCGCAGCATTTCTAGCCCAGCCGAAGAAAAATCAAAATTCCAACAGCCTTGACCACGAAAAACGTGTTAACAAAAACTCTGCCAACGTAGCCAGAAAATGCCGCCGAAAACACTGTCCTCTCAACTCTGAGGCAAAAGTCCAATTAGTCGGGTGTTTGAAAACGCATTCGTCCGCTCGATCGATTGCCTGATCGACCGCACGGGGTAGGCGATTCTCTTTAGCCCAGCTTTCAGTCACCATTATATACTTTCCCTTTTTTCTTTTATGTTTTTCTCTGATTCCCGGATACCGCCCCTCCTGAAGCTGTTGCCGTTGTGTATGGAGCTAGCCGGGGATTAACCTGGAGCCTCCTGGAAGGGATTCTTCGCCTACCGGTGCATCGCCTTGGCTGTAGTGTTCTGGATTCGAATTCCGTACTCTGCGGTCTGGTATTATTCGTCTGATGACAGGGTTCTTCTACTGGCTCTGTAGGCAAGTTGAAGTTGTCTGTCAACAGGTCAAATGGAAGCTTGGCGGATTCTATTGCTTGTGGCTGGCACATTGTTGTTCGCAGTTGGTTTGCATGGCGTACGCATACCTGCGTTCCAACCAGCACGTCCTAAATGACGCTTCCGCGCTTGCACTGGCTCGTTCCTGGCGTCCATTTTGCGTGTCCACCCCGATAATCACGCACAAGTACTGGTTGACCCGGTGTAAACGAACGTTGCTTGGCACCAAGCCGCCGATTAAAATCACGTTCCATCTTTAGGTTCCTTTCACCAGCTATGGACTCTGAGGATGGCCGAACTGCATCATATGGCATGCGAAGTTTTCTCTTCATCATTGCCTCTGCTGGTGATATTTCACCCGGCGTTTGTGGATTTTGTGTAGATCGGTACAGAAATAGGAAGCGGTCGATCACCTCCTCTAGGTCTCCCTCCCTCCTTGATTTGAGGAGAGCGCGTTCGAATGTACCCACAAACCTCTCTGCTTGGCCATTCGATTGTGGGTGGAATGATGGAGACCGCACGTGTTTGATGGCGCAGCGTTGGCAGAATTCCATGAATGTGGCCGAAGTAAACTGTGCTCCATTGTCCGTCACCAATGTTTCAGGGCAGCCGAACCTGCTGAAGATTTGTCGCAACCTAGAGACGGTTGCGCTGGTTTTCGTGCTTCTCATGAGGAACACTTCGGGCCACTTGCTATAAGCGTCGACCACTATGAGAAAGTTCTGGCCATTGATTGGGCGTGCAAAGTCTACAGGAACACGACTCCAAGGTTTAGTTGGTTTAGGCCATGAGCGGAGTTCAGTCTTTGGCGGTGCCCTTGAGGCGGTAGCGCAGTTGCCACAACTTTTAGCTAGCTGCTCTAGCTGCCTGTCCATAAACGGCCAATATACATAACTTCTGGCAAGCGCTTTCATTCGGTTGAGCCCTGGATGTCCTGCATGGAACTGTCGCAGCACTCTTTGTTGCAACGCCTGCGGGATGACTACTCTGTCTGAGAACATGATGCAATCGTCCCCAATGGAAAGCGAATGTCTTCGCTGATAGAACTGCTGCATTTCGGCAGATGAACACGAACGTGGCCAGCTGGTTCTGTGGAAGTGTGTCACCTTCTTCAGGATTGGGTCTCGAAGCGTTTCGGCCCGCACAGCATCGGCCGTAACTGGCATACCATGTAGTGCCTCGTTCACCAGGAATTTGACATCAGGTTCGATTTCAACTGAGGCAATGATGGTGTCCTCGTGTTCTTGTTGCTGGGAATCAATGAGGCGTGACAACGCATCTGCTTGGCCCAGCGAATTCGTTGACTGATAACGGATTTCAAAATCATAGCCCAGCAATGTAAGTGCCCATCGTTGGAGTCGCTTGGCTGTATAGGCAGGAATTCCCTTCTTCGAGCCGAAAATGGCCAGCAGCGGCTTGTGATCCGTCAAGAGTTTGAATCGGCGACCATACAGCATCTTGTGAAATTTCTTCACAGCAAACACTATGGCCAATGCCTCCTTCTCGATCTGACTGTAGTTTCTTTCAGCTTTCGTTAGCGTCCTGGCGGCATGTGCGATCGCCTTCTGAGATCCATCTGGGAACGTATGGGAAACTACGGCACCGATTCCTAGACTCGATGCGTCTGTGGCAAGGACAATTTCCCGGGAAGGATCAAAATGAGTTAGGAGTAAGTCTGAAGCCAACAATGACTTGACCCACTCAAACACAGTCTGGCATTTTGGTGTCCAATTCCAGGTTTGGCCCTTGCTCAACAACTTATTCAATGGGGCACGCAGGCGAGGTAGTTCGGGCAGAAAAGCGCTGTAATGACTGATTAGGTCACAGAATGAACGCAGCGACTGCAAGTCCACAGGTGGGGGCATCTTTTGAATAGCTCGGATATTTTCTGGATCAGGGCGACGACCGTCTTTTGAGAAGATGAAACCGAGAAACTTGATGGTTGGTGTAAAAAAGGTACACTTATCTTCGCGGATACGGAAACCATATGACTGGATACGTACAAGCACTTCAGCGAGCCGCTGAAATTGTTCTTCTGCCGTCCGACCCATTAAAATGATATCATGCAGGTACGCCGCGGCTCCAGAAACTCCCGCGAGCATGATGTCCATCAGCTGCTGGAAGATGGCTGGTGCTGTTTTCACGCCAAAAGGGAGGCGGTTGTATTGGTACAAGCCACGATGAGTGTTGATGGTCAGCAATTCTCTTGAGCTTTCATCAACCTCAACCTGGAGGTAGGCATCGGACAAGTCGAGCTTGGCGAAACACTTCCCACCATTTAGCTTGGCAAAGATATCTTCTGGTATCGGAAGGGGGTATTGATAGTTGTCCAATGCGGCATTCAAGCCGGTCGAAAAATCGGCGCAGACTCGCACTTTACCGTTCGGCTTTTTCACAGCAACAATCGGCGTAGCCCATGAAGAGTAGTTCACTGGTGTGATGACACCGGCTCGTTCCAGTCGGTCGAGCTCCTGATCAACTGCTGTCATGGCTGCATACGGTACCGGTCTTTTTGCTCTAAAGACTGGCTTGGTTCCTTCACGAAGACACAACTTTGCTTTGAACTTAGTCCAGTGGCCGAGACCATCCTCAAACGAGGTGACAAACTGCTGCTTTAGCTTTCTGCTCATCTCTTCTATCGACAATGATGAATGTACCGGGTCGGTTTGTACTGTATTGCAAATCTGACTCATTGGAGCATCAAACAGTTGTAATTTTTCCATCCAGTCAAGTCCAAGGAGGTTCAAGTTTGGTCGATCAGACAAGTAGCAGGTTCCGGCCTTTTCCACTCCGTTGAATGCAATTTTGCAATTTATTTCTCCGACCAACTTCAGCACTCCACCGGATGCATTGTGAGCGATTTTGTTGGAATCAATCATTTTCGGCTTCTTTATGTGCTTCCAAGTGTTCTTGGAAATGATCGTTATATCTGATGCCGTATCGAACTGCAGCCGGGTTGGGATTCCGTTGATAAGCACAGTGATAAATCGGCGGCGTGTTCTAGAATGACTGTGAAACGTAGCAATCACCGATAGTGATTCTGCGTCAGGTTTTCTGAAATTCTTCCTTCGGTAGGACTGCTTCACATTTCTTGGCCGGGACTGATGGCAAAAGTCTTCCTTGTGGCCGCGTTTATGGCACTTATCACAAATATGACGCTTGAATGGACAGTATCGTGTGAAATGCCATTCACCACATGACCAACAAGGTGTAGGCGGCTTGTTCGGCTTTCTGTTGAACGACTTATTCGAGCCAGATTTTCTTGCTTTTTGCACAGCATGAACAATATCGGCAATGGTGGGTCGACTCTGCAAAATCATAGCCGTGTCGTGTTTCAAGGTAATTAACCGTTTGCATTCGCCTACAAGAGACTTCAATCTCAAATCTGGATCTTGATCCAAATTAGCAAGGAGCCGAGTGCGGATTTCCGCGTCGCGTGGAGACTGTAAAGCACTGACAAATATAAGACACTTAAACTGGTCATCCGTCAAACAGCGTAATTTGAAACGTTCACATTCGCGGTTAACCATGTCTGCTAGTGCCCCATAATCGTCTGTATCACGCTTTACAATTTTTAGACATTGATAGCGAATGCTAAACAATGATGTTGACTCACCAAAAATTTCTTTGAGTGTTGCCACTGCTTCGTTGAAAGTGATGTCCTTCGGCTATTTAGGCAATATGTAGTCAAGGAATCTTGTATGTTCATTATTTCCCAGCTTGCGGAGCAAAAGGCGCACTTTCCATGAATCATCTTGACGGCTGAAATCCGTCTGGAACATATCCTCCCAACGTTTGAACCACTCCTCGAAAGTGGATTCGGAATCAGCATCATAATGAAATTCAGTGATTGAATTCGTAAGAAGATCAAGTGAAACAGCCTGCGTGTCCCGTGTAGCTGCTCCGTTTGATTGTACGTTTAAGCACTGCGTTAAACTTTCAATCAGTTTCATTTGTGCTTCCATCTGGGATTGTTGCTGAAGAAGCAGCTTTTGAAAATGTTCCGCAGAAAAATTTGTAACATTTCCGTGCTTGTCCGTCGCCATTGTTTGATCTTCCCCTTTTCGCTATTCCGAATTAACCACCCAGGAATTTCTCCGCAGCAATTCTAGCCCAGCCGAAGAAAAATCAAAATTCCAACAGCCTTGACCACGAAAAACGTGTTAACAAAAACTCTGCCAACGTAGCCAGAAAATGCCGCCGAAAACACTGTCCTCTCAACTCTGAGGCAAAAGTCCAATTAGTCGGGTGTTTGAAAACGCATTCGTCCGCTCGATCGATTGCCTGATCGACCGCACGGGGTAGGCGATTCTCTTTAGCCCAGCTTTCAGTCACCATTATATACTTTCCCTTTTTTCTTTTATGTTTTTCTCTGATTCCCGGATACCCACTGCCTTGTGGGTCAGGCTATTGAGCCCAAGACTCTGGGTGGAGTCCCTCAAGCATACCTCCGAAGCACAACGACCACCTCGTTTGCGATTCCCCACCAATGCAATCGTATGCCTGCGCGCAAAGCACTAAGCATCGGGTTCTGGAACGTGCGCCACTACTGGACCGGAACTCCAGCGAGCGCCTGGAGAGGCGCACTGCACTCGTCGCGATGGAACTGACGCGTTACCACATCGATATTGTGGCGCTCAGTGAAACTCGGCACGCTGAGCAAGGTAAGTTGCATGAAACAGTTGCTGGCTACACTTTCCACTACGTGGGCAACGGCACCTTAACACCACGTGAACATGAGATCGGATTTGCAATGTCTGATCGCCTCCATGGCCTGCTAGTATGTGAACCAACGAGCATCAGCGCGTGACTGATGACTGTTCGCCTACGAATCTGAAGAGGTAAGTTTGCCACTTCGCTAAGCACGTACGGTCCGAGCATGGGTTATCCTGATGACACGCGTGATCAGTTCTACACTGAGCTATCCTCCGTGATACGGTCTGTGCCGAGGAGCAAACAACTGTTTCTGCTGGGTGATTTCAACGCGCGCGTTGGGCGTGATGCATCGGTGTGGACAGATGTTATCGGTTCGCATGGCATTGGCTCAGCGAATGCGAACGGTGACAGGCTGCTCTCACTGTGTACCACTCACGACCTGACGATCATGAACACTCGGTTTGCACTGAGTGCGAATGATATAGTAACCTGGACGCACCCACGGAGTGGTCACGCTCACCCGCTCGACTATGTCATCATACGTCAGCGTGATATGCGTGAAGCGCGCATGACACGTGTACTGCGTGGATCTGAGTGTGGCACTGATCATAAATTGGTGGGGACCAAAATGTACATATGTTTCGCACTCCCGCTGTGAATCGGTGTAAATTGGACATACTCTCCCTCGGTACTGTGGAGAAGCGTATTGAGCTGGAGAGGGCAATTACTGCATGTGGAATGCATAGCCACAGTGGGTTACCCGTGGCACCACTTGTCAGCGTGTTCGTGCTAATCGTGCAATCCTGAACTTATCCCTTCACATTATTGTGCCACCACTTCGGAAGTGTGCTCAATGGATCCAAAGTATCAAGCTCTATCCAAATGGGTCTAATTTTTGTAATAAGTCCAACGACATGCTGGTACATCACAAACGAAGTCTTCGGAAGTCTATTCACTAAGGTCAACGCAAGTATCTTTGCTTATTTGAGTTTCATCAATACCTTATTTGCCCCATTAGACAGAGCTACTTTAAGACTGTCATATAATAAATAAATTAACACTGTGCACCACTGTATGCCATGGTTGCAGACATTTTTTCATCACGTTATCACCGCATTTTTACGTGCATTTCACTGCACAAAGCCTGGGTGATTTTGGCTACTCGTGCGCCTAGTGACACACCACTACAAAACCAGCTGACCGGAGCAGACAACCGAGGCTACCTAAACGGCGTGACCAGCGTAACCTAAAACTGCATACCGACCATTGATCCATGGGCCGGAGAAGATTGTCGACCGGGAAATCAGTGAGCAACAAGCCCAAGGTCCATCATAGCTCAGACAAGCGAAGAACTGAGATCCTCTCGAAAAGCACGTGTTAGTCCTGTGCCAATTTCTACCACACAACAAATGTGAGCCTTACACGCAACGGAGCTAACACCGTATCGACAGATAGGTTGTGGTTCTGTGACTTATGCTCAGATAGTCAGATAAGTGAGACTGTTCAAACGCTTACGACGTGTGAGCTGTTGGCTGTTACCTCGGTAGAGCAAAGGGAACTGATCGAGGTATTCGGACGGAAAATCTCAGAACTCAAGTTGTAGCCCGAATCCCACACCCGTTAAAATGCAAAAGCTCTCTAGCAACAATGTTGCACAGTCCATCGAAAGGCAAACACCGTTAGTGAAAAACAGCAGTGAAAAAAGGGCGGTAGTAAGGTCTCCCAAATCTCACGTAAAGCTCCAAAGCATGCAGAGTTGCGCACAAATTGCACGATCACCTCCGTCACTAGCTAGGTAACTACAGTTGACCCCCTACCGATAGTGCAACTAATGGCGGTGCACGTAAAGTAATCTTGCCGTAGCCTTGGCCTGTCGTTAACGGAAGACAAGCCAGACACTCCCACTCGACAAACCTTCGCTCACAAGAAACTGCAAAACAAACAATTACTACACAACCAAAAGGCAATGACAATGATATGTTCAAACATCCCAGAAGCCATTAGCGAATGGCTAAAAGGTAGACAAGCTGAGGAGCAAAGCCGCTGGGCTGAAATAACCTGCGCACTTGGAATGAAACTTCTATCAACTAGTCTTACACGCCTTTCATGTAATCCATCATCTCCACAAGTATGGGAATCTTGGCTACTGCGAGTAACATTTAACGACACATGCGACCTGGAAGTTGTTCTCTTAGCAAGCCACATTCTAGTGAACTCTTCTGCCAGTGCACCCAATTTTCCTGACAGGCCGTGGGCAGAAAGACAGAAGCATAAATCCAATCCTAGTTCGTCACGTCAAAATGATATGAAGAAAGTGGTACTGTTTCATGGTGTGCCAGTATTGAAGCATGACAATAGCACTGAAAGACAGAAGCACGACATCGACGAATGGAGGTACATCACAGAGCTCTATGACATGCAAAATGTCGTGACTTTTGATGCCACTCATCTAATTGCCTTCACAAACTATCAAGACAGCGGGCCACGAATTTTGAAAGATACCTTGACTGCGCCCGAAATGGTATCAGTGGCATTCAAAGCATGGCATGACAACAGGAAACTTGGGCCACCAGAAGTACGGTTAAGACTATTCCTTCATTTAGTACAGACCTCAGATACAGATGAGCCAGCCTCAATTGTACCTACCTCAAATTAGCCAACCGTACAAACAACCGTTTCAAAAGCTTCAGTAAACCGGCACTATTTGTGCCGATCAGTCGCAGCGAACCGAGCTCCTAATGAGTCAACAAATAAGAAGCTGTTACACCAACACTCAAGGGGTTGTATTCTAAGCTCTTGGAACTGCGTCATCGACATGAAACAATAATTTGGGTCCTCATGGTGTAGGGAGGCGGAATACAGTGGTTGCCCGGAGGGCAGAAAGACCACTAAAACGGGAGCGGATGGAAAGGGAAAGGGGCACAGTTGTGGGAAACAGGCAGAGCAACACAGACCTGACGGTACGAGACGAAAACGGGGCACGAGCGGCGCCCGGTACTGAAGCTGAGCCAGGCAAAACGGGGTGAGTATTTGTCGAGAACGTAATAAATCGGACAAAACCGCCGTTCTTGCGTCCTCCCGGAACAACCACAAGCAGAACTATACGTCCGCCTTCAAACAAAGCACGATCTATCGAAAAACTCCGGATCGGTCAGAATGGGATGCGTGGAAGCGGAGTTACGGGGGCGAAGTGGACATAGGGTAATTCTTCCCGTATCTCAAAGAGTGCATGGACGTGTTGCGAGCGGAAGCCAGGAGAGATAGTGCAACGCGGGAAGGAAACATGACTCAATAATGTACGCCTGTGTGTGCTGACATGTTGTGATCGCGCCAATAAAGATTATGCTTCATTGTCTAGTCGTAGTCGCGACAATAGCAGTTACTGAAACGTGGCTTTCAAACGACGTACTTGATCCAGAGATTGAACTCAGTGAGATACCAGTCATTCGAATTGATCGGCCACGTCACGGTGGCAGTGTTGCTCTCTACTGTCGAGATTACTTGAAATGTGAGTCCCTTACCGGAAACTTACTTGTTATTGTTGACGAGCATCGCGCCGGACCAATAGTTGGAACCGAAGCAAAGCACGTACATGGATCAACAAAAGTGATGAGATCTGGAGGTAGGATTCGCTAAGCCCATGGGAGACCACATGGCAGAATTACAAAGCAATCAGAAACTACTACATGTCGCTCATTAGAGTCGATAATTACGAATGGCGGGAGCGTATGGTGCTGAAATTTACGAGTAGCACTAAACTACTATGCAGGTAGGTGAATGACAAAAGAGAGGTTAAGCCCAAATACCACCACACAATACGGCCAGTGGCCGTAAACACTCTACTCCTGCAGTTTGGCTAGGTAGCTATGAATATCATGGAAGTTTTGCCCTATCAACTCTCAACAAATGTTGTTGGCTTATCTTGCGTCACCCTTACTCCAGCTGTCTTTGCAAGCAAATTACAGTCTCTCCGGGAGTACAGTGTCCTCAGAAGGGATGATCTGAAAACCATTTCTCCCACCATAGCAGCACCACTTGCAACCTTTTTCCAGGGTCTGCTGAACTCACATACACTCCCATCTGAGTGCAAATATTGAATTATCACTCCAATATACAAAGGTAAGTTATAGGATCATGCCAACTACCGACCTTTTACTCTTCTTCCTGTTTTAGCAAAAGTGATGGAATCGCTAATCGCAGAGGAACTGACGCGATACTTTGAAAGTCCACAGATAATTTCTTATGCCCAACATGGTTTCAGACGCAGACGATCCTGTCTCGCTTACTCGGGACTTATGGACCAGGGCGGCTGATGAAGGAATCCCCATAGACGTGATTTACTTGGACTTTTTAAAGTTTTTTTCTCCAGAAGCTTACTGTCTACGGTATCAACGGTTTTCTGCTCACCTGGTTAGAAGACAACTTACACGACAGAGCAAAAAAGGTAAGGGTAGCCGACAGGCACTGCAAGCCTGTGCGTCTCCAATGGTTCACGGCTAGGATCCGTCCTCGGCCCGCTACTCTTTTTAGTCTGCATTAATGACCTTCCA